GACCGACGCGCCGCCGGGGACAGGCGCTGGCCAGAGGCGCCCTCCAGAAAGCGTGCTTCGCGAAGCAAGAAAAGGAACTTTTGTTTCATATGAGTCTTTACTTTCAAACACTGACTTGGTGTCATCCCAACACAAGTCCTATTTCACAAGTCCAGCTTCTCATTCCAAGACGGCACTTTGCTTTTACCATAAGGAATCTTTTAACATTAAAAAAAAAATCACATCTTTCTTCCAAACCAGGAAACAGGACTTTCCTAAATAATGACCTTGCAGAGTAAACAAAAACGCATTACCCAAAGCTATCAATAAGATCCAGGTTAGAGTTGTTCCTCTAGCAACGCATCATTTTCCCTAACTGTTGGAAGAAGAAAAAAAAGAATTTAAATCCAGTGATTTTTTTTAAAAAATCCAGTGATATTTGAAATGCAGTTCAATCCTTCCAACCTCTCAGTTCTGAGGAATCGAAAGTTATTTTTCCAGAAGACCTATAACTTTCTAACGCATTAAAATCAAATGAAATAAAAAGATGAAAAGAAACAGCTTTAGAAACATAGGGAAATTCATGTAAAATTAAGCAAATGTTCAGTTCATATTAACTACTCTCCATAAGGACAATGCTCTTCAAACTATGGAAGGATTATATTATTCCTTTTAAATCGTGTTACCTAAATAGCATTCCATGTTGGGTCAAAAAGAAAAATGGAAAAGCAGCAGTTTTCCAAAGTCAGTAAGAAAGGAGTGATTCAAAACAGACTCTTAGGTTCGAGAGGCCCATTCCCCCCCCCCTCAGCTCCCCTGCCCTCTTTAATGCCACCACCCTCTCTCCAGAGCTAAGTAGCTGATTTGGGATTCTGAAGAAATGGGTTTCACCGTCCATATTTGTTCTGGGGCACTTGTAAAATGCTATGTATAGAGGGTCTTTAGCCTCCTGATTGTCTTTGGATTGTTTTTACTGAAACAGATCTTTTGCAGTTAATGAGTGCCCACGCAGCTGGACAGCTCCTCTCCGACACTGAGAACTCTAACCCCAAAATGACCCCAATTTGACACCGCAAGATGAAATTTTACCGCCTGTTAAAACCATTTCCAGCCTGGGCAGAAGGAGCTGACTGTTGACTGAGGTGTGTGCTGCCTCCTTTGACCCCCAGCTCTCTCCTGTCTCTGGGTCCTGCCCCAGCTATTTTCCCTTTGCCCCAAATGTGGGAGCGCAGGTGAGCTTGGCAGGCTGGGCGGTGCACTGGGGCTGAAAACAGGGCATCAGCCGGGACCGCCAGGCTGGAAGTCAGAGAGTCTGAGTCCCTCCGTTACCCTGGAATGGCCTCTACTGGGTTGGAACGTTGAGCTGTCAACCCTGGAAACTCTTACATATTAGAGGTGCCTTGTTTTTGTTTTTTCTCCCTTCTCCATTAATAAGATATCTGAAAACTGCAGATTAGAAGGAATATTCCTTTAATGTCATTAAAGTGATCAGGAACCAGTACCCTGAGTCCACTCCAACTTCATCTACTGGGGTAATCCAGCAATCCACTGGGGTTGCTATTTTAAACCAACAGTTTCATAAATGACATGCAACTACGCGACTGTTTTAGTTGCAAGATAATCGGTAAGTTGAATTTCAAAACCATACAGATGAACTGCAGAACAGTACTCTGAAAACTCACACTTCTTTAAGTCTTTGTAGTTAGAGGACTTCTGTTCTTTTACTCTCTTTCCATTTTCTTTCTTTTCACTATCTTACAGTGTCAAACACCTAGATGGTCCTGTTGTTTAACTTAATAAGGTGTAAAAGAAGTTACAAGAATACTGGAGAGGAAGAAGAGGAGTTGAGCTAAATAAGCCTTGTGATCACCGAAAGGATAAGATAGTTTATACTCTTTTGTAAAACCCAAGCTTATCACCAGATAATCAAGCTGTTATTAGCTTAACAATTGTTTGAAACTACAGAAGCCTTCCAGCTAAGAGAATTGTTTTTACTCAGTTACCTCGGAAGAAGAATCATTTTAGAAGATGCTGGGGATTTTTCCAAATCAAGGGTGCTAACTACGGAAAAGCCCCGGTGGGTGAAGGCAGCGGCGGGCAGCAGGGTAGAGTTTGGTCACGCCTGGGCACCGAGGCTGGAACGAAGTTGATCGCTAGAGGAAGTGCGCGCCGCGGAAACGGAGGGGCTTCTTTGAAAAAGAAAAGCAACTGGCGCTCGGCGAGCGCGGGCGCTGGAAACGCCTGCGACCCCGCGGGCTGCGGGAGTCGGAGGGGAGGAAGTGGAGCCGGACTTCCCGGCGGCGAGGCCAAGTCCCCCACCCCGGCTGCCCGGAACCGGCCAGCCTGCCAGCCGACCGACGGTTCTGGAAACCGACTTTTCTGTCGGGTCTTCTGTCACTCACCTTTGCTTACTCGTCGACAAGCAAGTCTGCATCAGATGAGGGTGTGCTTAATCTTGGAGCTCTTCTCCGGGACGGGGGGACAAAGAAGGGGTGGCGGCGC